CCCCCGAACCCCATAACCCCCCGGACCCCCATAACCCCCCGGACCCCATCTCCACCGACCACTTCATCTCCTGTTACTGTGTGAATGACCGTTCCTTTTATAATGTTATAATAAAACTTGTATTCAGTGTCAGCTCTGATGTCAGCGTGTCCTTCCTTCACACTATCCATGGGGCCACACACTAAAGAGTCACTCCGACCCGGGTCTGTACCCCGCTGTGCACATTGTGAGGGGTTCCCACCATCCCTGTGCTGAGTTTCTGGGTCTGTATGTCCACTGTGCCATGAATACTCTCCTGTGCCATGAATACACTCCTGTGCCATGAATACTCAACTGTGCCATGAATACACTCCTGTGCCATGAATACACTCCTGTGCCATGAATACACTCCTGTGCCATGAATACACTCCCCTGTGCCATGAATACTCTCCTGTGCCATGAATACTCTCCACTCTCCTGCGCCATGAATACTCTCCCTGCCATGAATACACTCCTGCCATGAATACACTCCTGTGCCATGAATACTCATGAATACTCTCCTGTGCCATGAATACACTCCTGTGCCATGAATACTCTCCTGTGCCATGAATACACTCCTGCGCCATGATACACTCCTGCGCCATGAATACACTCCTGTGCCATGAATACACTCCTGCGCCCTGAATACTCTCCATGAATACACTCCTGTGCCATGAATACACTCCTGTGCCATGAATACTCCTGTGCCTGCTGCCATGAATACACTCCTGTGCCATGAATACACTCTCCTGTGCCATGAATACTCACTCCTGTGCCATGAATACACCCTCCTGTGCCATGAATACACTCCTGTGCCATGAATACTCTCCTGTGTTTATGAATACTCTCCTGTGCCATGAACTCTCCTCTGTGCCATGAATACTCTCCTGTGCCATGAATACACTCTCCTGTGCCATGAATACTCTCCTGTGCCATGAATACTCCTGTGCCATGAATACACTCCTGTGCCATGAATACTGCCATGAATACTGTGCCATGAATACACTCCTGTGCCATGAATACACTCCTGCGCCATGATACTCTCCTGTGCCATGAATACTCTCCTGTGCATGAATACACTCCTGTGCCATGAATACTCTCCTGTGCATGAATACTCTCCTGTGCCATGAATACTCTCTCCTGCTGCCATGAATACTCTCCTGTGCCATGAATACTCTCCTGTGCCATGAATACACTCCTCTGCCATGAATACACTCCTGTGCCATGAATACTCTCCTCTGCCATGAATACTCTCCTGCGCCTACACTCCCATGAATACACTCCTGTGCCATGAATACACTCCTGTGCCTGCCGCCATGAATCCACTCCTGTGCCATGAATACTCTCCTCCTCTGTGCCATGAATACACTCCTGTGCCATGAATACACTCCTGCGCCATGAAATACTCTCTGCCCTGAATACTCTCCTGCCATGAATACACTCCTGCGCCATGAATACTCTCCTCTGCCATGAATACTCTCCCTGCCATGAATACTCTCTGTGCCATGAATACACTCCTGTGCCATGAATACACTCCTGCGCCATGAATACTCTCCTGCTGCCATGAATACACACTCTCCTGCGCCATGCCTGGCCATGAATACTCCTCTCACTCCTGTGCCATGAATACTCCTCCTGTGCCATGAATACACTCCTCTCCTGCGCCATGAATACACTCCTCTGCCATGAATACACTCCTGCGCCATGAATACTCTCCTGCGCCATGAATACACTCCTGTGCCATGAATACACTCCTGCGCCATGAATACTCTCCTACTGCCATGACTACTCTCCCTGCCATGAATACTCTCCTGCGCCATGAATACTCTCCTGTGCCATGAATACACTCCTGTGCCATGAAATACTCTCCTGCTGCCATGAATACTCTCCTCTGTGCCATGAATACTCTCCTGTGCCCATGAATACACTCCTCTGCCATGAATACACTCCTCTGCCATGAATACTGTGCCATGAATACTCTCCTGAATACCTCCTCATGCCATGAATATAACTCCTCTGCCATGAATACACTCCTCTGCCATGAATACTTTCCTGCGCCATGAATACTCTCCTGTGCCATGATACACTCCTGCTGCCATGAATACACTCTCCTGCGCCATGAATACTCTCCTGTGCCATGAATACTCTCCTGCGCCATGAATACTCTCCTCTGCCATGAATATACTCTCCTCTGCCATGAATACACTCCTGCTGCCATGAATACTCTGCCATGAATACTCTCCTGCGCCATGAATACACTCTGCCTCCTCTGCCATGAATACTCTCCTGCGCCAGGAATACTCTCCTCTGCCATGAATACACTCCTCTGCCATGAATACTCTCCTCTGCCATGAATACTCTCCTGTGCCATGAATACTCTCCCGCGCCATGAATACACTCCTCTGCCATGAATACTCTCCTGCGCCATGAATACTCTCCTGCCCTCCTGCGCCATGAATACACTCCTCTGCCATGAATACTCTCCTCTGCCATGAATACTCTCCTGTGCCATGAATACTCTCCTGCGCCAGGAATACTCTCCTCTGCCATGAATACACTCCTCTGCCATGAATACACACTCCTCTGCCATGAATACTCTCCTGCGCCATGAATACACTCCTCTGCCATGAATACACGTCACAGCGCCACCCTTCACACACCGCACACCAGCACACGTGTGTTACATGGAACAAAACACCAGCAGGCTGGTGTGGAGGAGCCCTACTATGGCCTCCTTCGCCATTTAGCTCCGCCCTAGAGGAACTGTAATAATTGAACAATCCTCCCCATTGGCACAAAAAAAAAAAAAATACAGAGACATTCCGCAAAGCCTAGGATAGACTCGCACATGTGCGCTCACTGACGCATACCTCTTTTTTTGCCTTCAGGTACACCTTCATTTCAAGATGGCGGATCACAATAACGTTTAAAGTTGACCATTTTAAGGGATTGGAAAGTCAACTTTTTTGACAGCCCCCCCCCCCCCCCCCACTACAAATTCATTCAGAAACAAAATGTGCACCCAAAATTAAGTTAAAAAAATCACTTCAGGCGGGGTGACGTCCTCCTGGAAGGCGCGGTGACGTCACCCTGAAGTGTCAGAGGCCCCATCTGAGGTAATTTTTTTTTAAAAGTTGGTCCTTAACCCTCCACCACTCCACCCCCAATCACAAAATTGCCAATAAACAAACTCTTCACCCAAAATTAATCAAAACATTACCTCAGACAGGGCCTCAGGTTCCTATGGGTGACGTCATCGCACCTTCTGGCATAGGTCGGAGCTAGGAATGGCCTGGGGAGCATTTTGGGTGGGATTTTGGGCTCCAGACCCTGTTTGAATGGTGCGGTGACGTCACCCTGAAGCGTCAGAGGCCCCATCTGAGGTCATTTTTTTTTAAAAGTAGGTCCTTAACCCTCCCCCACTCCATCCCCAAACACAAAACTGCTAATAAAAAAACTATTCACCCAAAATTAATCAAAACATTACCTCAGACAGGGTCACAGGTTCTTATGGGTGACGTCATCGCGCCTTTTGGCATAGGTCGGAGCTAGGAATGGCCTGGGGAGCATTTTGGGTGGGATTTTGGGCTCCAGACCCTGTTTAAATGGCGCAGTGACGTCACCCTGAAGCGTCAGAGGCCCCATCTGAGGTCATTTTTTTTCAAAAGTAGGTCCTTAACCCTCCCCCACTCCACCCCCAAACACAAAACTGCCAATAAAAAAACTCTTCACCCAAAATTAATCAAAACATTACCTCAGATGGGGCCTCAGGTTCCTATGGGTGACGTCATCGTGCCTTCTGGGATAGATCGGAGCTCAGAATGGCCTAGGGAACATTTTGGGTGAGATTTTGGGCTCCAGGCCCTGTCAGAATGGCGCTGTGACGTCACCCGGAAGCATCAGAGGCCCCATCTGATGTTATTTTTTTTTAAGTAGGCAGTTGTTTTTAAAAATGGGAAAAGGGGCTGTCGAAAAAAAGATTTTTCAATTTGCATGCTTTAACCGCCGAAACAGCTGTCACCGCAACAGCAAGTGAGGTGGAAATCCCTCTAACGGAGCACCGGATGGCAGTAAATAAATCAGACGGGGGTCCTAACCCTCCCCCCACGCAACTTCCAAACACAAAGCTATTTGTAAACATACAGATCACCCAAAATTGAATTAAAAAAGGTCCCAGGGGGGTTCCGACACTTCCATGAGGAACGGGTGACGTCATCGCGTCTTGTGGCAGAGGCTGGAGCTCAAAATGGTCTGGAGTGGATTTTGGCGGGATTTCGAGTTTCGTGCCTCTGTCGGAAGGCGCGGTGACGTCACCCGTAATCGCCAGAGGTAGTTTTTTCTTTTAAATTTAGGCGGTTTATTTACAAAGGTGAGGGGCTGTCAAAAGAGACGATTTTCCAAGTCGTCCTTAACCCTCCCCCACTCCCCCCCCCAAACACAAAACTACCAATAAACAAACTCTTCACCCAAAATTAATCAAAAAATTACCTCAGACGGGGCCTATGGGTGACGTCATCGCGCCTACTGGCACAGGTCGGAGCTCGGAATGGCCCGGGGAGCATTTTGGGTGGGATTTTGGGCTCCTGGCCCTGTTGGAAGGCGCGGTGACGTCACCCTGAAGCGTCGGAGGCCCTATCTGAGGTAATTTTTTTTAAAAAAATTGGGGCGGTTTGTTTGTAAATGGGGGAGGGGACTGTCAAAAAGGTTTTGAGAAAAAAATGCGCCAAACTGACGCGTTTCGACTTTGGGACCTGCGGACTTCCTCAGGGTAGGATACTGGCGGCTTTAGTTTTATTGCATTGAGATAGCACAGACGACTCTCAGTTTCCTGCTCGTTTGTAGCCGGGCTCACACCGTCCTTTTCAAAAATTTCTGTCAGAACAGGTGAAACTTTCTGTTGCCAGTAGTCAAGATGGCGGCGCTGGCCTCCAGCTGGCATGACAGGCACTTCCGGCCTCTCCTCCTCTCTCGCCGGTGCCATCATGGTGGATGAGGCTACTCGCCGGGTGGTGTCGGATATCCCGCTGTTGAAGACCGGGGCCAGCCCGCGGGACAAGGAGCTGTGGGTGCAGCGGCTGAAGGAGGAGTACCAGGCCCTCATCCGGGTGAGGGAGCGGTGCGGTAATGTGCCCCCCGGGGATAAGGAGGGGGTCAGAGGTTCCGGGGTGCAGCTGGGGGAGGAATGATCTGTCAGTACACAGGGTCATGTTCTTGTGTCCACACACTGAAATCTGATTGGTCGTGACATGACTGTACAATATGATCAGCCCCTCGCTTTATGACCCCCTATTGCTCCCCTTCCCCCACTTGGTGACCCCCCCTCTCGCTCCCCTCCACCCGGTGACCCCCTCTCGCTTCCTGTCCCGGTGACCCCCTCTCGCTTTCTGACCCCCCCCCTCAGTGACTGACTCTTGCCCCACCCCCAATGACCCCCTCGCTTTCTGACCCCCTGGTGACCCCCCCCGTCGCTTCACACCCCGGTGACCCCCCTCTCGCTTCCTGTCCTGTTGACCCCCCTCTCACTTCCCGTCCCGGTGACCCCCTCTTGCTTCCCGTCCCAGGGACCCCCCTCTTGCCCCCCCCCCCCCGGTGACAACCCTCTCGCTTTCCACCCCGATGACCCCCCCCAGTCGCTTTCTACCCTGGTGACCCCCCCCAGTGACCCTCCTCTCGCTTTCCTCCCCGGTGACCCCCCCCTCTCGCTTTCCGTCCCGGTGACCCCCTTTCGCTTTCCGCCCCGGTGACCCCCTCTTAGCCCCCCTCACTTCCCACCCGGTGACTGACACTCCCCCCACGCTTCCCGCCCCTGTGACCCTCCTGTTGCTTCCCGCCCCTGTGACCCCCTCTCGCTTTCTATCCCCATGACACCTTCTCTCCTTCTGTCCCGTTGACTCCCTTTCACTTTTCTTCTGGTGTCACCCTCTCACTTCCTGTCTTGATACCACCCCTACTCTCTCACTTCCTGTCCTGATGACACCTTATTTCCTGTCCTGATGACACTCTCTCTTTCTGTCCTGGTGTTACCCCCACCCACCCTCTTCTTGTCCTGGTGACATCCCCACCCATCCTCTAACTTCGTGACACCTTCTTACTTCCGGTCCGTGACACCTTCTTACTTCCTGTCTTGGTACCGCCCCTACCCTCTCACTTCCTGTCCTGGTGACACCCCCATCCTCTCACTTCCTGTTCTGATGACACCCTCTCATTTCCTGTCCTGGTGACACCTCCATCCTCTCACTTCCTGTCCTATGACGTCCTCTTGCCTCCTGTCCTGGTGACATCTCCATCCTCTCACTTCCTGTCCTGGTGACATCTCCATCCTCCCACTTCCTGTCCTGGTGACACCTCCATCCTCTCACTTCCTGTCCTATGATGTCTTCTCGCTTCCTGTTCTGGTGACATCTCCATCCTCTCGCTTCCTGTCCTGGTGACCTCCCCATCCTCTGACTTATTGCCCTATAAATTGTGACAGTTCACCTTAAAGCTGCTCCCACGTGGAGTCTGACCCGCCCCTGTCAAGATCTGTGATTGGCTGTATATGTTTGTAATTTGTTTTTTTCCGGTTTTGGCCCCGCAGTATGTGGAGAACAACAAGAAGGCGGACAATGACTGGTTCAGGTTAGAGTCGAATAAAGAAGGCACCAGGTGAGTTGTGGGCAGGGCTAGTGACAGGAGCTCCGCCTCCAACGCTTGCTTACAGCTGTGATGGTATAATGGGCTCTCCTCTCCCGCTGTGTTGTAGGTGGTTCGGGAAATGCTGGTACATCCACGAGCTGCTGAAGTACGAATTCGATGTGGAGTTCGATGTGAGTTTGGAAATTTTTATGCTTTTGAATTTATGGCGAATTTATCATCCAATCCCTGATAGAAGTCCTGAGCGAATGGGAGGAGCTGGATGGTGGGTGGGGGTGACTTGGTCAGGTGTAGAAAGACAATAAGAGAGGGTAGAGGGTGTCGCCAGGTCAGGAAACAGGAAGGTGGGGTGGTCATTGGGACAGGAAGTGAGAGGGTGGGGGTGTTGTCCCCAAGAGAGAAAGTGAGAGGATGGGGGTGTCAAGAGGACAGGAAGTATGAAGGTGGGATGGTCATTAGGACAGGGAGTGAGATAAGGGGGGGTGCCGCCAAGACAGTATGTGAGAGGGGTGTGGCCAGGACAGGAAGTGAAAGGCTAGGGGTGTCACCAGAACAGTATGTCAGAGGGGTGGGGGTGTCGTCAGGACAAGAAGGGAAAGGGTGAGGTGTCTTCAGGACCGCATGTCAGAGGGTGGGGGTGTGGTCAGGACAGGAAGTGAGAGGTTGGGGGTGTTGTCCCCAAGAGAGGAAATGAGAGGATGGGGGGTGTCAACAGGACTGGAAGTGGAAAGGTGGGGTGGTCATTAGGATAGGAAGTGAGATCAGGGGGGTGTAGCCAAGACAGTATGAGAGGGTGTGGCCAGGACAGGAAGTGAAAGGGTGGGTTGTCGTCAGGACAGCATGTCAGAGGGTGGGGGTGTGGCCAGGACAGGAAGTGAGAGGGTGGGTTGTCATCAGGACAGCATGTCAGAGGGTGGGACTGTGGCAAGGACAGGAAGCAAGAAGGTGGGGCGTTGTCAGGACAGCATGTCAGAGGGTAGGGGTGTGGCCAGGACAGGAAGCGAGAAGGTGGGGTGTTGTCAGGGCAGCATATCAGAGGGTGGGGGTATGGCCAGGACAGGAAGTGAGAAGGTGGGGCGTCGTCAGGACAGCATGTCAGTGGGTGGGGGTGTGGCCAGGACAGGAAGCGAGAAATGGGGCGTCATCAGGACAGCATGTCCGAGGGTAGGGGTGTGGCCAGGACAGGGTGGGGGTGTGGCCAGGACAGGAAGTGAGAGAGTGGGGTGTCCTCACGACAGCATGTCAAAGGGTGGGGGTGTGGCCAGGACAGGAAGTGAGAGTGTGGATTGTCGTCAGGACAGCATGTCAGAGGGTGGGGGGGTGTGGCCAGGACAGGAAGCGAGAAGGTGGGGCATCGTCAGGACAGCATGTCAGAGGGTGGGGGTGTGGCCAGGACAGGAAGTGAGAGGGTGGGGGTGGGGGGTGGGGGTGTTGCCTTCGCAGCTCTTAGGGGAGGGTTTTAGTAGCCCCAAAGCCGCAGGTGACACTAACCTACATTTATAGGATTTTTGTCTCCTCTGTGCAGATTCCGGTCACTTACCCGTCCACAGCCCCCGAAATCGCCATTCCAGAGCTGGACGGCAAGACGGCGAAGATGTACAGGTAACAGGCGGCCATAACTGGCAAACGGCCGGCCATGTGTGGTCCTTAAAGGGGAAGTACTCACCTGGGGTCATTGTCATGTTCACCTCACGTTAGTACATGATTGCTGCACCATATTTCACCTGTTTAATCACACAGATTTGCACCTTTCACTGGCCGCATGCTTTTACTGGGGGAGTGGTGGACAGTGAGCATTCTCAGCTTCTGTATATAATAGAGGGATGTAAGGAACGGCTTGTACTCAGCATGCGCCCAGTGAAGGCTCCCTCCTGTCATGTTGTAATGTGTTGGGTTTTTTTTTTTCCCCCCCCCCCATAGAGGAGGGAAGATCTGCCTGACGGAACACTTCAAACCACTGTGGGCACGGAACGTACCAAAATTCGGCCTGGCACATCTCATGGCTTTAGGGGTGAGTATTGTTCGGGAAGAAATCCCTGACATGTCACCAATATACAGCTCAGTATCGGGGTTCAGAAGAACTCCACCCCTTTTATCATTAAAACGATGATGTCATCACTCTGCTGCAGGCAGGAGGAATCATTTCCTGAGTCTCCCCTCCCCCAGTAATCAGACTTCCTCATTTTAACACCAGTTCCCTGGCTCTCATGCTGACCCATCGGTCTTCAGAACAGACCTAAGACTTGATGTAGATCAATGCTGTACTGATCTGTCGCTGGCCGGGTGCGTCGATCTGTCGCCGGCCGGGTGCGTCGATCTGTCGCCGGCCGGGTGCGTCGATCTGTCGCCGGCCGGGTGCGTCGATCTGTCGCCGGCCGGGTGCGTCGATCTGTTGTGTGGACCTCCTGGACATGTCGAGGGCCGCACTTCTCCCCAGGTTTGCCAAGTTGACCAATCGCTGGGTTAAAGCCTGTGTCCTCCTTAGGGAGATTTCCCTTTACATCCTATCAGAACAGGAAGTGATCGGAAATGTCAATGGGGACACAGACCCAAAACACATTCTCAATACAGCAGGGAAGGATTTGAATTTCTTATCCTGGTGACGGGTGTCACAGAGACAGGATGTGAGGGAACCCCTCCCTGGTGAGTTCATAGACAGGACCTGATAGGAATTCAACTCCTTCAAAAAAAAAAAAAAAATACAAAGGGACTGAATTCTGTATTGAAGGCATAACTAATGTGTGAGAGCGTCTTCAAACTTTCTAATGCGTTTACAATTTCCTTCTGGTCCTGGATGATTCCCGGGAAATCCCGGTCCCCTGAAGATTCCCGGGAAAATCCCGGTCCTCTGAAGATTCCCGGCCCCGGGCACTCCCGGCCCCGGGAAGATTCCCGGGCACTCCCGGCCCCGGGAAGATTCCCGGGCACTCCCGGCCCCGGGATGATTCCCGGCCCCGGGATGATTCCGGTCGATTTCCGGCTCTCCTGGGCGATTTCCGGCACTCCGGTCCCCCGGGCGATTTCCGGCACTCCCGGTCCCGGGCGATTTCCGGCAATCTCGGTTCCGGGCGATTTCCGGCTCTCCCGGCCCCGAATGATTTCCGGCTCTCCCGGCCCCGAATGATTTCCGGCTCTCCCGGCCCCGAATGATTTCCCGGCTCTCCCGGCCCCGAATGATTTCCGGCTCTCCCGGCCCCGAATGATTTCCGGCTCTCCCGGCCCCGAATGATTTCCGGCTCTCCCGGCCCCGAATGATTTCCGGCTCTCCCGGCCCCGAATGATTTCCAGCACTCCCGGCCCCGGTGATTTCCAGCACTCCTGGTCCCAGAGATTCCCGGCTCCGGATGATTCCCGGGCACTCCAGGTCCTGGATGATTCCCGGAGATTCCCAGGCACTCCCGGCCCCGGGTGATTTCCAGCACTCCTGGTAACTTTTCTCTCTGTCTCTCAGCTGGGCCCGTGGCTGGCGGTGGAAATTCCTGACCTGATCAGCAAGAGAATGATCAAACATAAGGACAATTGAGGATGACATTCCAGCCAATCCTTCTTCCTGCTAGAAGACCTGGGGGGGTGAACGATCAGCCAATCGCTTCCCTGACACAAGACCCAGGGACCACCAACCGGCCAAATCACCTCACCAACACAAGACCTGGGGAGCCAGCATTTGCCGAGGACGGCAGAACCTGTCATTTATTTATCATATTTGTACCACAAGCCGCTCGGCTGACCATCTGCTATTCTGTATAATAAATCTTCTGTTCGCTCACCTCGTCTGTTTCCTGTGCAGTGATCGGCTTTACACTGGGGGGGACTTTGGGGCAAAATTCGATCGATGTATTCCACTAGTGCAGGGAGCAGAGCGGAGCCGGCTCTGGGTGAGAAGTGGACAGGTGTGGAGGTGCCGCCATAGATCTCATCAGAATGCAAAGACCGCCAAAGGCCAACTTTAATCTTTTTTTTTTTTTTTTTTTTTTGGACAGAGCAGGGAAGGGGTGGAATTTCTAGGACAGGAAGTGAGTGGAAATGTTCCTGATGAGGGCACAGACATGAGCATTTTTAGTAGAGCATATTGTGCTGTGCTGGGGGGTGATGGGATGAGGCCATTGTCCACAGAAACCAACCAAATCTACAGCTTCTTAGGAAAAGTGCAGCCTGTGGTGTTACCTCGGACCCCTCTGTATATAGATCTGAGATCCTATGTGACACCTGATCCCCTCTGTATGTAGATCTGAGATCCTATGTGACCCCTGATCCCCTCTGTATATAGATCTGAGATCCTATGTGACACCTGATCCCCTCTGTGTATAGATCTGAGATCCTATGTGACACCTGAACCCCTCTGTGTATAGATCTGAGATCCTATGTCACCCCCTGATCCCCTCTGTGTATAGATCTGAGATCCTATGTGACCCCTGATCCCCTCTGTGTATAGATCTGAGATCCTATGTGACCCCCTGATCCCCTCTGTGTATAGATCTGAGATCCTATGTGACCCCTGATCCCCTCTGTGTATAGATCTGAGATCCTATGTGACCCCTGATCCCTTCTGTATATGGATCTGAGATCCTGTGTGACCTCTGACCCCTCTGTGTATAGATCTGAGATCCTGTGTGACCCCTGATCCCCTCTGTGTATAGATCTGAGATCCTATGTGACCCCTGATCCCCTCTGTGTATAGATCTGAGATCCTAGCTGACCCCTGATCCCCTCTGTATATAGATCTGAAATCCTATGTGACCCCTGATCCCTTCTGTATATAGATCTGAGATCCTATGTGACCCCTGATCCCTTCTGTATATAGATCTGAGATCCTATGTGATCCTTTCTGTGTATAGATCTGAGATCATATGTGACCCCTAATCCCTTCTGTATATAGATCTGAGATCCTATGTGACCCCTAATCCCTCTGTATATAGATCTGAGATCCTATGTGACCCCTAATCCCTCTGTATATAGATCTGAGATCCTATGTGACCCCTAATCCCTCTGTATATAGATCTGAGATCCTATGTGACCTCTGTCCCCTCTGTATATAGATCTGAGATCCTATGTGACCCCTGATCCCCTCTGTGTATAGATCTGAGATCCTATGTGACCCCTGATCCCCTCTGTGTATAGATCTGAGATCCTATGTGACCCCTGATCCCCTCTGTGTATAGATCTGAGATCCTATGTGACTCCTGATCCCCTCTGTGTATAGATCTGAGATCCTATGTGACTCCTGATCCCCTCTGTGTATAGATCTGAGATCCTATGTGACTCCTGATCCCCTCTGTATATAGATCTGAGATCCTATATGACCCCTAATCCCTCTGTATATAGATCTGAGATCCTATGTGATCCCTTCTGTGTATAGATCTGAGATCCTATGTGACCCCCTAATCCCTCTGTATATAGATCTGAGATCCTATGTGACCCCTGATCCCCTCTGTATATAGATCTGAGATCCTAGGTGACCCCCTGATCCCCCTCTGTATATAAATCTGAGATCCTATGTGACCCTGATCTCCTCTGTATATAGATCTGAGATCCTATGTGACCCTGATCTCTTCTGTATATAGATCTGAGATCCTATGTGACCCTGATCTCCTCTGTATATAGATCTGAGATCCTAGGTGACCCTCTGATCCCCTCTGTATATAGATCTGAGATCCTAGGTGACCCTCTGATCCCTCTGTGCTTAGATCTGAGATCCTATATAACCCCTCTGTATATAGATGAGGGATCCTATGTGACCCCTGACCCTCCCATATATTGATGAGTAATCGTGTGACCCCTGATCGCTTCTTCAGTGTAGCTGTATGTACAGTATATCACAAAAGTATAACCTTTGACCCCTTTATATATAGATCAGTGGACCTAAGTGACCTCTAACCCATTTGTACATAGATCAGTGACCTCTGATTCCTCTATATATAGATTGGTGACTTGCTGTATATAATTTAATGACCCCTCTATATATAGATCATTGACTTCTGACACCTCTGTATATAGATCAGTGACCCCTGATCCCTCTATATATAGATCAGTGACCCCTGATCCCTCTGTATATAGATCAGTGACCCCTGACCGCTTTGTATATAGATTAGTGACCTCTAACCCCTCTGTATCTAGATCAGTGACCCCATACCCCTCCGTATATAGATCAGTGACCCCATACCCCTCCGTATATAGATCAGTGACCCCATACCCCTCCGTATATAGATCAGTGACCCCATACCCCTCTGTATATAGATCAGTGACCCCTGACCGCTCTGTATATAGATCAGTGACCCCTGACCGCTCTGTATATAGATCAGTGACCTCTCACCCCTTTGTATATAGATCAGTGACCCCTGACCGCTCTGTATATAGATCAGTGATCTCTCACCCCTTTATATATAGATCAGTGACCCCTGACCTCTCTGTATATAGATCAGTGACCTCTGACCCCTCTGTATAGATCAGTGACTCCTGACCGCTCTGTATATAAATCAGTGACCTCTCACCTCTCTCTAAATTGATCAGTGACCACTCTCTATATAGATCAGTGACCTCTAACTGCTCTGTATATAGATCAGTGACTTTCGACCCCTCTATATATAGATCAGTGACCTTTGACCCCTCTATAGATCAGTGACCTCTGACCCCTCTGTATATAGATGAATAACCCCCTTGTATATAGATCAGTGACCTCTGACCCCTCTTTATATAGATCAGTGACCCCTGACCCCTCTGTATATAGATCAGTGACCTCTTTCGACCCCTCTGTATATAGATCAGTGGCCCCTCACCCCTCTGTATATAGATCAGTGACCTCCGACCCCTCTTTATATAGATCAGTGACCCCCGACCCCTCTGTATATAGATCAGTGACCTCTGACCCCTCTGTATATAGATCAGTGACCCCCGACCCCTCTGTATATAGATCAGTGACCCCCCCGACCCCTCTGTATATAGATCAGTGACCCCCGACCCCTCTGTATATAGATCAGTGACCTCTAACCCATCTGTATATAGATCAGTGGACCCTGACCCATCTGTATATAGATCAGTGACCTCCGACCCCTCTTTATATAGATCAGTGGCCTCCGACCCATCTGTATATAGATCAGTGACCCCCGACCCTTCTGTATATAGTTCAGTGGCCCTAGACCCCTTTGTATATAGATCAGTGGACCCTGACCCATCTGTATATAGATCAGTGGACCCCCGACCCATCTGTATATAGATCAGTGACCCCCGACCCATCTGTATATAGATCAGTGACCCCCGACCCCTCTGTATATAGATCAGTGACCCCCGACCCCTCTGTATATAGATCAGTGACCTCTAACCCATCTGTATATAGATCAGTGACCTCTGACCCATCTGTATATAGATCAGTGGACCCTGACCCCTCTGTATATAGATCAGTGACCCCCGACCCTTCTGTATATAGTTCAGTGGCCCTAGACCCCTCTGTATATAGATCAGTGGACCCCGACCCCTCTGTATATAGATCAGTGACCCCCGACCCCTCTGTATATAGATCAGTGACCCCCCCCCCGACCCCTCTGTATATAGATCAGTGACCCCCCCCCCCCGACCCCTCTGTATATAGATCAGTGACCCCCCCCGACCCCTCTGTATATAGATCAGTGACCCCCGACCCCTCTGTATATAGATCAGTGACCTCTAACCCATCTGTATATAGATCAGTGACCCCCCCCCCGACCCCTCTGTATATAGATCAGTGACCCCCCCGACCCATCTGTATATAGATCGGTGGACTCTGACCCATCTGTATATAGATCAGTGACCCCCGACCCTTCTGTATATAGATCAGTGGCCCTAGACCCCTTTGTATATAGATCAGTGGACCCTGACCCCTCTGTATATAGATCAGTGACCTCTGACCCCTCTGTATATAGATCAGTGACCTCTGGTGATCTGTACATTATTGATTAGTGATTCTCTGGTGATTTGTAGAATTATTGATCTCTTATAATTTTCAGTCACATCCTCAATAATATAAACAGAGCGACGCTCAGCGGGCAGCCTCGGACTGTACCATCGTAGTAATGCCGGGGGTGGGGGGAAGACAGGCGGTGTCGGTGCCCTGTACTGCTCCGGTGGGATTTTTAATCCTCCCGTATAATGGAGGCGCCGGATGAGAAATTGGGGGTCATTCTCTGTACCCCGCTCCCCTAATCTGTATAGGAGTTCCTCCCCAGACCTAGTGGTTCAGTCCTAACTTTGCGCAGCCGCAGTATGCTCGGATCACCCCTGCCCATGCGCAGTGCGGGTGGTGGAGGCTTCGCCCGCCATGTTGGCTCCTGGCAGGGGACGGTTTACTAACAGACGGTGACTATGGACACCCGCCGTACATGTGAGAGCAGAGCGGAGCCGCCCGTTATCGGACAGCCGTCCCCGTCCCGGTGTGCTCCATGACCCGCACCCCCAGCACCGGTGAGTGTTTACATCGCCCCCCCTGTGCGGTCTGTGAGCGTTAACCCTTCACTGTGCGCTCTGTGAGCTTTATACAGCCAGCCAATGGAGCTCAATGATATTTCCAGAGTAAACCAGGACCTGCTGAGTAGAAAAGCCTGTCCCCTGCCAGCCTGCAGCAGAGAGGGAGCTGTATTCATTGTGGGGAAGCAGTGGCCTCACTGCAGAGATCCTACCCGCCCCCTGCTGGTGAAAGCAGCCACAGCCTGAGTAGAAAAGCCTGTCCCCTGCCAGCATGCTGTAAAGAGGGAGCCGTATTCCTTGTGGGGAAGCAGTGGTCCCTCTGCAGAGGTCCTACATGCCCCTCTTGCTGAAAGCAGCCACAGCCTGAGTAGAAAAGCCTATCCCCTGCCAGCATGCAGCAGAGAGGGAGCCGTATTCATTGTGGGGGAAGCGGTGGACTCTCTGCAGAGATCCTACATGCCACCTCCTGGTGACAGCAGCCACAGCCTGAGTAGAAAAGCCTGTCCCCTGCCAGCATGCTGTAAAGAGGGAGCCGTATTCCTTGTGGGGAAGCAGTGGTCTCTCTGCAGAGGTCCTACATGCCCCTCTTGCTGAAAGCAGCCACAGCCTGAGTAGAAAAGCCTATCCCCTGCCAGCATGCAGCAGAGAGGGAGCCGTATTCATTGTGGGGGAAGCGGTGGACTCTCTGCAGAGATCCTACATGCCACCTCCTGGTGAAAGCAGCCACAGCCTGAGTAGAAAAGCCTGTCCCCTGCCAGCATGCTATAAAGAGGGAGCTGTATGCATTGTGGGGAAGCAGTGGTCTCTCTGCAGAGGTCCTACATGCCCCTCTTGCTGAAAGCAACCACAGCCTGAGTAGAAAAGCCTGTCCCCCGCCAGCATGCAGCAGAGAATGAGCCGTATTCCTTGTGGGGAAGCAGTTGTCTCTCTGCAGAGGTCCTACACGCTCCCTCCTGGTGAAAGCAGCCACAGCCTGAGTAGAAAAGCCTGTCCCCTGCCAGCATGCAGCAGAGAAGGATCCTTGTTACTTTTGGGGAAGCAGTGGTCTCTCTGCAGAGGTCCTACAGGCCCCCTCCTGCTGAAAGCAGCCACAGCCTAAGCAGAAAAGCCTGTCCCCTGCCAGCATGCATGCAGCAGAGAATGAGCCGTATTCCTTGTGGGGAAGCGGTGGTCTCTCTGCACAGCCCCCTCCTGGTGAAAGCAGCCAAAGCCTGTCCCCTGCCAGCATGCAGAGGAAAAGGAGCCGTATTCCTTGTGGGGAAGCAGTGGTCTCTATGCACAGGTCCTATACCCCTCCCCATTGGTGAAAGCAGCCACAGCCTGATTAGAAAAGCCTGTCTCCTGCCAGCATGCTATAAGACGGAGCCGTATTCCTTGTGGGAAAGCGGCGGTCTCTCTGCAGAGGTCCTACACGGCCCCTCTTGCTGAAAGCAGCCACAGCCTGAGTAGAAAAGCCTGTCTCCTGCCAGCATGCAGCAGAGGAGCCTTGTTCCTTGTGGGGAAGCAGTAGTCTCTCTGCAGAGGTCCTATACGCCCCCTCCTGGTGAAAGCAGCCACAGCCTGAGTAGAAACGCCTGTCCCTTGCCAGCATGCTGCAAAGAAGGAAACATTGGTCTCTCTGCAGAGGTCCCCCCCCCCTCCCATACTGAGTCAGACCTATTGCTCTGAATTTAGCAAGCTCATGCTCTCTGCTGATTGGAGGGCTCTGACTCCGCAGAGGGCGTTCCGGACCCCTGCGGAGAGACCTACTGCCTTCCCTCTCTGAAGTTTGCTGGCAAAGGACAGGCTTTTCTGTGCAGGCTGTGGCTGCTTTCAGCAGCAGGGACATGAAGGACCTCTGCGAAAAGACTACTGCTTCCACACAGAGGCTCCTGCTCTGCAGCAATGGCGGCAAGGGACAGGCTTTTCTATATAGGCTGTGGCTGCTTTCAATGTAGGGGGGGGGGGGCATGTAGGACCTCTGCAGAGAGACCACTGCTTCCCCACAAGGCTCCCTCTCTGCAGCAATGTTTGCAAGGGACAGGCTTTTCTACTCAGGCTTTGGCTACTTTCAGCAGGAGGGGGGCATGCAGGACTTCTGCAGAGAGCCCACTGCTTCCCCACAAGAAACGAGGCTCCCTCTCTGCTGCATTCTGGCAGGGGACAGGCTTTTCTACTTCGGTTGTGGCTGCTTTCAGCAGTGGGGGCATGTAGGACCTCTGCAGAGAGACCACTGCTTCCCCGCAAGGAACAAGGCTTTCTCTCTGCAGCAATGCTGGCAAGGGACAGGCTTTTTTACTTAGCCCGTGGCTGCTTTTAATGGGGGGGGAAGGGGGATGGCATGTAGGACCTCTGCAGAGAGACCACTGCTTCCCCACAAGGAACAAGGCTCCCTCTCTGCAGTAATGTCGGCAGGGCACAGGCTCTTCCCTTCAGGCTGTGGCTGCTTTCAGCAGTGGGTTGCATTTAGGACAGTTGCGGAGAGACCACTGTTTCCCCCCAGAGCAAGGCTCTTCCTCTGCAGCAGTGCTGGCGGGGGACCGGCTTTTCTACTTCGGTTGTGGCTGCTTTCAGTAGTGGGGGCATGTAGGACCTCTGCAGAGAGACCACTGCTTCCCCGCAAGGAACAAGGCTCTTCCTCTGCAGCAGAGTGCTGGCGGGGGACCGGCTTTTCTACTCGGGCTGTGGCTGCTTTCTAAATAAAACCAACTGTAGGGAACTGTTTGCATGTCGCTGTTCTAATGCCCCTCCCCCCCCCCCCCCCACATTGGGTTGTCCAAAAAAAAAAAAAAAACAGTTGGTGTTCTGTCAGCTGACCCCACGCCGCCCGTTTTCTTCTCTGACGTCATCGGGAGCCGGCGGCCCTTTCCGGATTGTCATGCCGCAGTGAATGGGCGCCACCAGGGGCCGGCTGTGTCTGCGGGCTTTAAATAGAAAATAAAAAAAATATAATAAAAGCAGTGATTGCACCACATGTGAGGTATCGCCGCAAACATCGGAGTGAGCGCAATAATTCCGGGGTTGGGGGGCGTCATTCACGATCAAACCGTTAAGCGCCACCTATGGACACTTTTAGGTACTGCAGTTTATCCCGGATTCACAGGGATGTGCAATTTTAAATCATGACTCGTTTGGTATCTATTTACTCGATGCAACTTCGTCTTTTATATTTTGGAACAAAAAAAAACCTGAGTGTTATATTGGGTTTGTGCGCACTGAAAAAAAAAAAAAGTAAAAATCTGGCCCTCCAGGCCATTTCACGTGGCCCTTGCACCTCTCCTGCAGGTACCCCTTTGTCTCCGCCCCCCACCCTGTCTCAGCAGTCGGCGTCGACTTACACAGCCAAAATGGAAGGAATGACTCCGGCTCGCTCACCTTCGGCATCCTCGGGGTTAATCCCGCCAGGCAGCCCTTCCAGGGCGGTGAATCCCCGCAGGACGCCGTATTTATAGCGAGCGCTTATTTATGCCTCAGGAAGTCCCAGAGGTGGCGCTGCTCTCTTGTCTCACAGCCCGCGGCGATCTGAGGGCACCGCGCTCCCAGAACGCAAAGCCAGCCAATCACGGTGCTTTAATATGTTCTAAGAATACACGGTGAGTGAAGAGTTAATGGGCCCCCCCCCCCAACCCCAAGCGCTCCACATTTTTCTGGGCACCTCCACTTTTTTGGCGCCCTTGCAGCTTTTTCTCAAGTTGCGAAACGTCCGCCATCTTTTTTTTTTTTTTTTAAGGAAGTCCTCGCAGATGCGACTCCAACTTCTGTGGTGGACAGGTGGGAAAATATTGAAATAAAATATAGGGGGCACCTCCACTTTTTTGGCGCCCTTGCAGCTTTTTCTCAAGTTGCGAAACGTCCGCCATCTTTTTTTTTTTTTTTTAAGGAAGTCCTCGCCGATGTGACTCCACTTCTGTGGTGGATAGGTGGGAAAATATTGAAATAAAATATAGGGGGCACCTCCACTTTTTTGGCGCCCTTGCAACTTTTTCTCAAGTTGCGAAACGTCCGCCATCTTTTTTTTTTTTTTAAGGAAGTCCTTGCAGATGCGACTCCACCTCTGTGAACAGGTGGGAAAATATTGAAAAAAAATATAGGGGGCGTCGCTCTGGGTCTGGCAGTCTCCTGTTTCCTGGCAATGTACAGAAAAGCTCCGCCCACTATTGTTTACAGGGTCATGTGACTGGCCAGAAACACTGCGAAAATCCTGCTGACTTTGGAAGCTGACTATTATATTGAACAGGTCACTGATGTTGTTTTTTTTTTTTTTTTTTTTTTTTCTTTTCTCAGGGGGACCCCAATCCATCAGGTCCACAATGCCGCAGGTCTGCGAAGCCAGATTTGGGCGTGGCCGCGACCCCTCGCTGGTCACCTCCCAACCTCCCACCGCCGGCAAAATCCTCACCTCTCTCCGTACCGTCAGCCAAGAGCGATCGGCCTTCTCCACCACGGTTTTCAGCAACGGCATCCCGAAACGGCGCCCCCTGCCTCCACCTCCGGTACTGGAGGAGAAGATCAAGGCGGAGCGCGGACGCAGCATTCAGCGGGCGGAGTCCTCCAGCAGGAAGGGACCCATAAAGGCCGACCACTTTCTGGCAGTTGGCAGCGGCGCTCCCGTCACCAAACCGCCGGCTCAGCCTCTGGCGCCAAGGCCGGGAAGCTTGTCGCGGTCTAAGTCGGTCAGTTATGGAGACCTCAGCTCTGCCGGAAACAAAGTGGAAGAGATCAGCAAAGGACTGTCACGGGTGACGCTCAGGGAGCGGAGCGCCTCCTCCAGTAGGAAGCCGCCGTTGGACCCCGCCGTGCTGAAGAGGAGCAGCTCGCTAAAGAGGCTGAATTCCTTACCAACAATGGAGGCTCAGCACCAACCCGGCGCCGTCTCCGTGACGCCATTACGACCCAACGCTTCCACCAAACCGGCACCCCGAGAGGCACAGGAGAGGAAAGACTCGCAACAGACCCGACCCTCCTGCAGCTCGCCAACCACAGACACCCCAACCGTCATCAATGGGACCAAGACGCAGGAGAGGCGACCGACATCATCTACACCAGTACGTGTGTCGGAGGTAAACCTGTCAGAGGAGCTTACGCTCTAATGTGTCCCCTCCCCCACAGTCCCATCAGTCTGTACCAGAGGAGCTTACACTCTAATGTCCCCTCCCCCGCAGTCCCATCAGTCTCTGTACCAGAGGAGCTTACACTCTAATGTCCCCTCCCCCGCAGTCCCATCAGTCTCTGTACCAGAGGAGCTTACACTCTAATGTCCCCTCCCCCACAGTCCCATCAGTCTCTGTACAGAGGAGCTTACACTCTAATGTCCCCTCCCCCACAGTCCCATCAGTCTCTGTACAGAGGAGCTTACACTCTAATATCCCCTCCCCCACAGTAACATCAGTCTCTGTACAGAGGAGCTTACACTCTAATGTCCCCTCCCCCACGGTCACATCAGTCTCTGTACAGAGGAGCTTACACTCTAATGTCCCCTCCCCCACGGTCTCATCAGTCTCTGTACGAGAGAGCTTACACTCTAATGTCCCCTCCCCCACAGTCACACCAGTCTCTGTACCAGAGGAGCTTACACTCTAATGTCCCCTCCCCCACAGTCCCATCAGTCTCTGTACCAGAGGAGCTTACACCCTAATGTTCCCTCCCTAATGTCCCTCCCCCACAGTCCCATCAGTCTCTGTACCAGAGGAGCTTACACTCTAATGTCCCCTCCCCCACAGTCTCATCAGTCTCTGTACCAGAGGAGCTTACACTCTAATGTCCCCTCCCCCACAGTCCCATCAGTCTCTGTACCAGAGGAGCTTACACTCTAATGTTCCCTCCCCCACAGTCCCATCAGTCTCTGTACCAGAGGAGCTTACACTCTAATGTCCCCTCCCCCACAGTCCCATCAGTCTCTGTACCAGAGGAGCTTACACTCTAATGTCCCCTCCCCCGCAGTCCCATCAGTCTCTGTACCAGAGGAGCTTACACTCTAATGTCCCCTCCCCCGCAGTCCCATCAGTCTCTGTACCAGAGGAGCTTACACTCTAATGTCCCCTCCCCCACAGTCCCATCAGTCTCTGTACAGAGGAGCTTACACTCTAATGTCCCCTCCCCCACGGTCTCATCAGTCTCTGTACCAGAGGAGCTTACACTCTAATGTCCCCTCCCCCACAGTCACATCAGTCTCTGTACAGAGGAGCTTACACTCTAATGTCCCCTCCCCCACAGTCACATCAGTCTCTGTACAGAGGAGCTTACACTCTAATGTCCCCTCCCCCACGGTCTCATCAGTCTCTGTACAGAGGAGCTTACACTCTAATGTCCCCTCCCCCACAGTCACACACTATTATTATAGCTCTGACGTACACTGTGGCTCTGTACTGTGGCCGGAGTGGTGTCGGGGTAGAAGTGGTAGGTGGTTGGTGACACAGCTGTGTGTACATCACCAAGGTCATATCGCGCTCCCTGCGCGCTCGTAGCGTACGTTCCCCTCCCGTCCGCGGAGAGAGAAAGCAGCGTGACTCCACAGCTAATTAATCCCAAGGAGATGAGCTCTCTGATCCACCTTGAACAGTCCCAGGCACAATCCTCTGAGAAGGATGATGAGAGGTTGTCCCTTTAATCCCCGTCATTCTCCCGAGGACAAGCGAGCAGTCAGGACGGGCTGGCCCCCTTGCAGAGCCGCAACATGCCAGGGCTGCCGGGGACCGGTCTGGTTGAACTGCCCCAGAAGCTCCAGCACATGCTGTCCGACAAGAAGGAGGTCCAGGGGAAAGGTGTGGATATCTCGGAGTCTGTGGTCCATACCGCCATGATGGGACTCCTGCTCATGGCCAGCGAGGTAATACTGGAGTCACAGGGTACGAGTCATTAGGTGACACAGGATGTTCTGGGGTGCCTGAAGTCACGGGTTACACAGGGGGCACTAGAAGTCAGATGACACAGTGTTCTGGGGTGCTCTTGATATCTCGGGGTACTCAGAGGGCACTAGGAGTCATTAGATCGCACAGAATGCTTGGGGGTGGTCTTGAAATCACAGGGTACACAGGGGGCACTAGGAGTCAGTAGATGACACAGGAGGATGCTCAGGGGCGGTCCTGAAATCACTGGATGCACAGGGGGCACTAGGAGTCCGATGACACAGGATGCTTGGGGGCGGTCCTGAAATCACGGGGGGCACTAGGAAACATGACACAAGATGCTCAAGGGCGGTCCTGAAATCACCAGATACACAGGGGGCACTAGGAGTCCGATGACACAAAATGCTTGGGGGCAGTCCTGAAATCACGGGGCACTAGGTGTCAGATGACACGATGCTTGGGGGCGGTCCTGACATTACAGGGTACACAGGGGTCACTAGAAGTCAGATGACAGAGGACACTTGGGGGCAGTCCTGAAATCATGGGGTACATGGGGCACTAGGTGTCAGATGACACAGGATGCTCGGGGGCGGTCCTGAAATCACAGGGCACACAGGGGGCACTAGGTGTCAGATGACACAAGATGCTCGGGGGCGGTCCTGAAATCACGGGGTACACAGGGGGCACTAGGTGTCAGATGACACAAGATGCTCGGGGGCGGTCCTGAAATCACGGGGTACACAGGGGGCACTAGGTGTCAGATGACACAAGATGCTCGGGGGCGGTCCTGAAATCACGGGGTACACAGGGGGCACTAGGTGTCAGATGACACAAGATGCTCGGGGGCGGTCCTGAAATCACGGGGTACACAGGGGGCACTAGGTGTCAGATGACACAAGATGCTCGAGGGGACGGTCCTGAAACCACAGGGTACACAGGGGGCACTAGGTGTCAGATGACACAAGATGCTCGGGGGCGGTCCTGAAACCACGGGGTACACAGGGGGCACTAGGTGTCAGATGACACAAGATGCTCGGGGGCGGTCCTGAAACCACGGGGTACACAGGGGGCACTAGGTTTTTTAAACCTTTTTCCTTTAATTCTTCTCTATGGCTGTGCCAATCATAGGAGTTGTGGCCTGATTTGCTGTGGCACTGATCATGGCCACCGTCTCCTGATTGGATGTTCTGATCATGGCCACCGTCTCCTGATTGGATGTTCTGATCATGGCCACCGTCTCCTGATTGGACGTTCTGATCATGGCCACCGTCTCCTGATTGGAAGTTCTGATCATGGCCACCGTCTCCTGATTGGACGTTCTGATCATGGCCACCGTCTCCTGATTGGACGTTCTGATCATGGCCACCGTCTCCTGATTGGACGTTCTGATCATGGCCACCGTCTCCTGATTGTACGTTCTGATCATGGCCACCGTCTCCTGATTGGACGTTCTGATCATGGCCACCGTCTCCGGATTGGACGTTCTGATCATGGCCACCGTCTCCTGATTGGACGTTCAGATCATGGCCACCGTCTCCTGATTGGACGTTCTGATCATGGCCACCGTCTCCTGATTGGACGTTCTGATCATGGCCACCGTCTCCTGATTGTACGTTCTGATCATGGCCACCGTCTCCTGATTGGACGTTCTGATCATGGCCACCGTCTCCTGATTGGACGTTCTGATCATGGCCACCGTCTCCTGATTGGACGTTCTGATCATGGCCACCGTCTCCTGATTGGACGTTCTGATCATGGCCACCGTCTCCTGATTGGACGTTCTGCTGGGACTTCAGACGAATTCCCGAGTTCTCGGATGATCGGTAATTTTGGTGATGATTTCCTTCCTGAGTGGTGGAAATTTTTTCAGATTTTTATGTGACACCAATCCCTGTAGAGTTTTTGTTGGAAGTCTTGTTGTCATCCCAACAGAATCCGTATTCCACGCGGTTCTCCCGTGTGCTCTGTGATCTCTTCAGAGGGTGAAGATTCAGGACTGCGATTGGCTAGATCGTCTCCATACATCTGATTGGTCGCAGACTGAATTGTATCTGAATGATTTCTCTTGTCTGTTCTTCCCCGCAGCCTGCTCGTGTTCCCGTCCTCGGATCCGGCCATGTTGGGCTGCGGAATTTAGGCAACACGGTGAGTATCTGGGGGGTGGGTTGTCTGATAGACTTGTAAAGGGTCACCATCCCCCCCATAGTGGGAACCCCTCATAATGGGCACAGCGAGCGTACAGACCCGGGAACTCGGCACAGGGATGGTGGGAACCCCTCATAATGAGCACAGCGAGCGTACAGACCCGGGAACTCGGCACAGGGATGGTGGGAACCCCTCATAATGGGCACAGCGGGGGGGTACAGACCCGGGAACTCAGCACAGGGATGGCGGGAACCCCTCATAATGGGCACAGCGGGCGTACAGACCCGGGAATTCGTCACAGGGATGGTGGGAACCCCTCATAATGGGCACAGCAGGCGTACAGACCCGGGAATTTGTCACAGGGATGGTGGGAACCACTCATAATGGGCACAGCAGGTGTACAGACCCGGGGACTCAGCACTCAGCACAGTGATGGTCGGCACAGGGAACCCTCATAATGGGCACATCGGGTGTACAGACCCGGGAGCTCGGCACAGGGATGGTGGGAACCCTTCATAATGGGCACATCGGGTGTACAGACCCGGGAACTCAGCACAGGGATGGTGGGAACCCCTCATAATGAGCATAGCGGGAATTTGTACAGACCCGGGAACTCAGGTGCACAGGGATGGTGGGAACCCCTCATAATGGGCACAGTGGGCGTACAGACCCAGGAACTCCCGATGGTGGGGATGGGACAGACCCGGGAACGTCAGCACAGGGATGGTGGGAACCCCTCATAATGAGCATAGCGGGAGACCCGGTACACCAGGAGGATGGAGGGGAGGAGCCGGTACACCAGGGGATGGAGGGGAGGGAGCCGGTACACCCCACTCATAATGGGAGCAGGGAGGAGCCGGTACACCCGGAGGATGGAGGGGAGGAGCCATCGGGGTACACCCGGAGGTGGAGGGGAGGAGCCGGTACACTCGGAGGATGGAGGGGAGGAGCGGGGTACACCCGGAGGATGGTGGGGGGCACAGTTCGTACAGACCGGTACATCCGGAGGATGCAGGGGAGGAGCCGGTACACCAGGAGGATGGAGGGGAGGAGCTGGTACACCCAGGAGGATGGAGGGGAGGAGCCGGTACACCCGGAGGATGCAGGGGATGCAGGGGGAGCCGGTACACCCGGAGGATGGAGGGGAGGATCTGGTACACCCGGAGGATGGAGGGGAGGAGCCGGTACACCTGGTGGATGGAGGGGAGGAGCCGGTACACCCGGAGGATGGAGGGGAGGAGCCCATACACCCGGAGGATGGAGGGGAGGAGCCTGTACACCTGGAGGATGAGGCAGGATCTAAAAATTTCTATGATCATTACTGTGTTGGGTTTGATTTTCCTTTCAGTGTTTCCTGAACGCCGTCCTGCAATGTTTGAGCAGCACCAAACCGCTCCGGGATTACGTCCTGCGCCAGGAATACCGCCAGGAGCAACACACAAGCTGCCGGACGCAGCAGGAGCTCACCGAAGGTTTGTTGCAATCCTTTCTCCTCCTCTCTGGCTGCATTCTTGCAGCCAACGAGAAATACTGTGAGAGCTGCGATTGGTCACAGCTTTTCACATGGTACAGGGCTGTTGTGAATAGCCCTGAACCATGTGATCTCTGTGATCATTCACAGATTTCACACGTAGTAAGTAATGATGTCAGGAAGTGACATCGTGTTTACTACTGTTCATGTGATCACTGATTGGCCAATCAGTGATCATGTGAATCGGGACCTCACACAGAGGGTCCTGTACAGCGATCTGGTCACAGTGGGCACCGGATCGCAGTGCCGCACACTCCCGGGGAGAGCGCGCACAGGCAGTGAATGCGGAGGCCATTTATAAACTGCCTCCCGCTCCTGCCCTGCTCCCGTTGGGCCGTTTATGTACATGAGCCGGACGGGAAGTGGTTAAACATCTAACAGGAGGCTCCGCCCAGTGCGCCAATAACACCCGCAGCTCACAATTTAAGGCCGATGAAAGGATAGCGCACATCCCCCCCCTTTTGTCCACTGAGGCCCAATTTATGGATTTCCCCTAGAACTCAGCGCAATGATGTCACTAGCCGCAAGCGAATGGATTCGTTCCTTCACAATTGTCTGTCCTCCTCCATCTTTTATTCGATGTGCCGCCATTTCCGATCGTCTATTTATGTACATAAAACAAGGGCGCTTGCAGGTAATCCACTTAAACCCCGAACTAAGAATAGCGGCGGATTTACTCCCACAATGCCGCAGTGCTCTGGTGCCGGAGAAGTGTCGTTCTTAAAGGGAACATCCCCCACCCCACCAGGGTTTGCCGTATATCCATGGGATTGTTCCCCCAGAATAAGTCTGCCCAGTGCTTTTTCATCGTTACAACTGGAAGTGGGTGGAGTATATTAGGCAGAAAGCGAACATGTTGTCTCTGAAGTCGATGTGTTGAAAGCCAAAACGAAGTTCATCGCAGTTGAGATGAGATTACATTGGTAAAGCCCCCATTGAATTGCATTTGTGCATTGGAATTGCAAAGCCCCCACTGGATTGCACTGGTAAAGACCCCATTGGGATTGCATTGGTAAAGCCCCCATTGAGATTACATTGGTAAAGCCCCCCATTGTTGGGATTGCATTGGTAAAGCCCCCATTGTGATTGCATTGGTGAAGCCCCCATTGGGATTGCATTGGTAAGCCCCCATTGGGATTGCATTGGTAAAGCCCCCATTGGGATTGCATTGGTAAAGCCCCCATTGGGGATTGCATTTTGTAAAGCCCCCATTGGGATTGCATTGGTAAAGCCCCCATTGGGATTGCATTGGTGTAAACCCCATTGGATTGCATTGGTGAAGCCCCCATTGGGATTGCATTGGTAAAGCCCCCATTGGGATTGCATTGGTAAAGCCCCCATTGGGATTGCATTGGTAAAGCCCCCATTGGGATTGCATTTGTAAAGCCCCATTGGGATTGCATTGGGATTGCATTGGTAAAGCCCCCATTGGGATTGCATTGGTAAAGCCCCCAAGCATTGGTAAAGCCCCCATTGGGATTGCATTGGTAAAGCCCCCAAGCCCCCATTGGGATTGCATTGGTAAAGCCCCCATTGGGATTGCATTGGTAAAGCCCCCATTGGGATTGCATTGGTGAAGCCCCCATTGGGATTACATTGGTAAGCCCCCCATTGGGATTGCATTGGTAAAGCCCCCATTGGGATTGCATTGGTAAAGCCCCCCATTGGGATTGCATTGGTAAAGCCCCCCATTGGATTACATTGGTAAAGCCCCCCATTGGGATTGCATTGGTAAAGCCCCCCATTGGGATTGCATTGGTAAAGCCCCCCATTGGGATTGCATTGGTAAAAGCCCCCATTGGGATTGCATTGGTAAAGCCCCCCATTGGGATTGCATTGCATTGGTGGTAAAGCCCCCATTGGGATTGCATTGGTGAAGCCCCCCATTGGGATTGCATTGGTAAAGCCCCCATTGGGATTGCATTGGTAAAGCCCCCCATTGGGATTGCATTGGTAAAGCCCCCCATTGGGATTGCATTGGTAAAGCCCCCCATTGGGATTGCATTGGTAAAGCCCCCCATTGGGATTGCATTGGTAAAGCCCCCATTGGGATTGCATTGGTAAAGCCCCCCCAATGGGATTGCATTGGTAAAGCCCCCCATGGGATTGCATTGGTAAAGCCCCCCATTGGGATTGCATTGGTGAAGCCCCCCATTGGGATTGCATTGGTAAAGCCCCCCATTGGGATTGCATTGGTAAAGCCCCCCAATGGGATTGCATTGGTAAAGCCCCCCATTGGGATTGCATTGGTAAAGCCCCCCATTGGGATTGCATTGGTAAGCCCCCCATTGGGATTGCATTGGTGAAGCCCCCCCATTGGGATTGCATTGGTGAAGCCCCCCCATTGGGATTGCATTGGTAAAGCCCCCCATTGGGATTGCATTGGTAAGCCCCCAGCTGTTGTCCCTAAAGCCTTGGAAGCCGGTGTTGGACAGTGACAGTTCTTGTCCCTCTGCAGCCTTCGCTGATGTCGTCGCTTCCCTTTGGAGCTCTGGAGGCTCCAGACGCAGCAAACCCGTCCCGTCTGCGATCGGTGTTCCAGAAATACGTCCCGTCTTTTACTGGATACAGGTGAGATCATCATCGGCACAAATATGACTGACAAACCACAAGTGTGACTTTCATGCGGCTTTAGGGTCTGTGGGACTTGAGTCGCATTAAAGTCGCATCAAAGTAGTTCAGTAACCTTTTTAAAAGTCGCTGCGACTTGAGTCGACTTGATTGGAACGGCTGCCATTGAAATTGATGGGTTTCCTCTTGTCACGAGACGCTGGGGTCGCAAGTTGCATGCCAAGTCGTCGCAGCAGTGTGAACCGAGGCATAGCCATTAGGGATTGTAAACTCCACATTACATTCTATGGTGGGCAGGGTGGTTGGGACCTCTACCTTGCATCACCAAGTGGGTCCTTGGTTTAAATCCCAGCCATGACACTGCCTGCATGGAGTTTGCATGTTCTCTCTGTGCTTGTACGGGTTACTTGCTGGGCAGTGGCCTAGTGGTTGGGACCTTCGCCTGGCACCATTGGGGTCCTTTGTTTAAATCCCAGCCATAACACTACCTGCATGGAGTTTGCATGTTCTCTCTGTGTTTGTACGGGTTACTTGCTGGGCAGCCTGGCCTAGCGGTCTTGGGGACCTCTACCTTGCATTACTGAGATCCTACCGGGGTCCTTGGTTTAAATCCCAGCCATGACACTACCTGCATGGAGTTTGCATGCTCTCTCTGTGCTTGTACGGGTTACTTGCCGAGCAGTGGTTGGGACCTTCGCCTGGCACCACTGGGGTCCTTGGTTTAAATCCCAGCCATGACACTACCTGCATGGAGTTTGCATGCTCTCTCTCTGTTACTTGCTGGGCAGTGGCCTAGTGGTCGGGAGCTCTGCCTGGCACCACCGGGGTCCTTGGTTTAAATCCCAGCCATGACACTGCCTGCATGGAGTTTGCATGTTCTCTCTGTGCTTGTACGGGTTATTTGCTGGGCAGTGGCCTAGTGGTCGGGACCTCCGCCTGGCACCACCAGGGTCCTTGGTTTAAATCCCAGCCAGTTTGACACTACTGGGCTGCATGTCGGGAGCTTCTCCCTGTTTGCCTGCGTGGGTTTCCTCCAGTACGGGTTACCCTGGCTTTTTCGGGAGCACCTGGCACTACTAGGGTCCCCCAAAGGTGATATCTCTTCCTCCTTTACAGCCAGCTGGGACGCTCAGGAAAATTCCCTCAAGTTCTTCATGGACCGGATCCATGTGGAGATCAACAGGAAGTGCAGGAAAACTCCCAGCATCCTCTCTGATGCCAAGCGGCCCGTGTCACTGGAGCCTCAAGACTCACTCAGGTAAGCAGTTGCTGTTCCGACCTGTGTTGGGTCCAGCAGGCTTCCATGGTCCATAAAGCTGTTTCCAGTTTGGAAATGAGGTGGATTTTTGTATTTGCACAAAAAAATCCAGAAAATACTCACCGTAAGGTGAACCTGTCCAGTAGATCCAGATATAGGCGGCTAAATGTACACTATGTGGTCAGAAATATTGGCCCCGCCCTCCCAATCATGTGATTCAGGTGTTCCAATCCCCTCCATTCATGTGATTCAGGTGTTCCAATCCCCTCCATCATGTGATTCAGGTGCTCCAATCCCCTCCCAATCATGTGATTCAGGTGTTCCAATCCCCTCCATATCATGTGATTCCCAATCATGTGATTCAGGTGTTCCAATCCCCTCCATGTCATGTGATTCAGGTGTTCCAATCCCCTCCATTCATGTGATTCAGGTGTTCCAATCCCCTCCAATTCCCAATCCCCTCCATATCAGGTGTGATTCAGGTGCTCCAATCCCCTCCCAATCATGTGATTCAGGTGTTCCAATCCCCTCCATCCATATCATGTGATTCAGGTGTTCCAATCCCCTCCATATCATGTGATTCAGGTGTTCCAATCCCCTCCATGTCATGTGATTCAGGTGTTCCAATCCCCTCCATATCATGTGATTCAGGTGTTCCAATCCCCTCCATGTCATGTGATTCAGGTGTTCCAATCCCCTCCATATCATGTGATTCAGGTGTTCCAATCCCCTCCATCATGTGATTCAGGTGTTCCAATCCCCTCCATTCAGGGACATACATGTGATTCAGGTGTTCCAATCCCCTCCATATCATGTGATTCAGGTGTTCCAAATGGACAAGGTGTATACAATCCATCCCCTAGGCATGCAGACTGCTTCTACAAACATTGGTGAAAGAATGGGTCGCTCTCAGGAGCTCAGTGACTCCAAGCGTGGTCCCGTGATAGGTGGCCACCTGGGCAATAAGTCCATCTGTGACATTTCCTGGCTACTAAATATTCCACGCTCAACTGTTAGTGGGATTATAACAAAGTGGAAGCCACTGGGAACAACAGCCACTCAGCCACCAAGTGGTAGGCCACGTCACATGACAGGGCGGGGTCAGCGCATGCTGAAGAGCACAGTGCGCAGAAGACACCAACTGTCTGCAGAGTCAATAGCTAAAGACCTCCAAACTTGGTGTGGCCTTCAGATGAGCCCAACAACAGTGCGTAGAGAGCTTCATGGAATGGGTTTCCATGGCCGAGCAGCTGCATCCAATCCTTCCATCACCAAGTGCAATGCAAAGCGTCGGATGCCGTGGTGTAAAGCACGCCGCCACTGGACTCTAGAGCAGGGAAGACGTGTTCTCTGGAGTGACCAATCAATCTGGCAATCCGATGGCTGTTTGGTTTGGTGATTGCCAGGAGAACGGTACTTGCCTGACTGCATTGTGCCAAGTGTAAGGTTTGGTGGAGGGGGGATGATGGTGTGGGGTGTTCCTCAGGGGTTGGGCTTGGCCCCCTAGTTCCAGTGAAGGGACAACATTTTGGACAATTTCATGCTCCCAACTTTGTGGGAAGAGTTTGGGGATGGCCCCTTCCTGTTCCAACATGACTGCGCACCAGTGCACAAAGCAAGGTCCATAAAGACATGGAGGAGCCTGTTTGGGGTGGAGGAACTTGACTGTCCTGCACAGAGTCCTGACCTCAACCCCATAGAACACCTTTGGGATGAATTAGAGTGGAGACTGCAAGCCAGGCCCCCTCCCCCGACATCAGTGCCTGACCTGACAAATGTGCTTCTGGAAGAATGGTCCAACCTTCCCATAGACACCCTCCTAAACCTTGTGGACGGCCTTCCCAGAAGAGGCAAAGGGCGGGGCCAACTCAATATTGACCCCTACGGACTAAGACTGGGGGGCCATTAAAGGTCATGTGTGTGGAAAGGGCGGGGTCAACTCAATATTGACCCTACGGACTAAGACTGGGGGGCCATTAAAGGTCATGTGTGTGGAAAGGGCGGGGCCAACCAATATTGACCCCTACGGACTAAGACTGGGGGGCCATTAAAGGTCATGTGTGTGGAAAGGGCGGGGCCAACTCAATATTGAACCCTACGGACTAAGACTGGAGGGCCATTAAAGGTCATGTGCGTGGAAAGGGCGGGGCCAAGTCAATATTGAACCCTACGGACCAGGGGCGGACTGACCATTGGGAAACTCGGGCACTGCCCGAGGGCCCGGGGTCAGTAGGGGGCCCCATGAGATGTCCCTGGTACCTTTCATAGGCTTTTTTGGGTGTGGTTTGAGTGTGGGCGAGGACACAGGGGCCCCATGATCCCCTATGAGTTGTCAGTCCGCCCCTGCTACAGACTAAGACTGGGAGGCCATTAAAGGTCATGTGTGTGCGTGTGTGTATATATATATGTTCTCCTCATGGACCACATGGAACGGGTTGAGATTTTGTGACCTGATTGACTCCGAGATATTTCTCTTCTACAGCGACGATGAACGAGCCAATCTGATGTGGAAGAGGTACCTGGAGAGAGAGGACAGCAAAGTTGTAGGTGAGCGTGTGACTATGTACAGGCGTGTATTATCGGCAGACGTGTGTCTATGTACAGGCGTGTGTTATCGGCAGACGTGTGTCTATGTACAGGCATGTATTATCGGCAGACGTGTGTCTATGTACAGGCGTGTATTATCGGCAGGCGTGTGTCTATGTACAGGTGTGTATTATCGGCAGGCGTGTGACTATGTACAGGCGTGTATTATCGGCAGATGTACAGGTGTGTGTGTGTCTATGTACAGGCGTGTATTATCGGCAGGCGTGTGACTATGTACAGGCGTGTATTATCGGCAGACGTGTGTCTATGTACAGGAGTGTATTATCGGCAGACGTGTGTCTATGTACAGGCGTGTATTATCGGCAGACGTGTGTCTATGTACAGGTGTATTATCGGCAGACGTGTGTCTATGTACAGGCGAGTGTATTATCGGCAGACGTGTGTCTATGTACAGGCGTGTATTATCGGCAGACGTGTGTCTATGTACAGGAGTGTATTATCGGCAGACGTGTGTCTATGTACAGGCGTGTATTATCGGCAGACGTGTGTCTATGTACAGGCATGTATTATCGGCAGACGACGTGTGACTATGTACAGGCGTGTATTATCGGCAGACGTGTGTCTATGTACAGGAGTGTATTATCGGCAGACGTGTGACTATGTACAGGCGTGTATTATCGGCAGACGTGTGTCTATGTACAGGCGTGTATTATCGGCAGGCGTGTGACTATGTACAGGCGTGTATTATCGGCAGTATAATTCCTAAGCGATGTATTATGACATAGACTGTCACTGGAGCTACACGGGAGATTTATAATCAATCTTAAAACTTAAGTATAATCAGCTTATGTGTGCCTTCCATGACCCCTCCCCCCCTCTCCATCCCCCCCCCCTCCCTCTCCATCCCCCTCCCCCCTTTCCATCCCCTCCCTCCCCCTCTCCATCCCCCTCCCCCTTTCCATCCCCCTCTCCCCCTCTCCATCCCCCTCCCCCTTTCCATCCCCCTCCCCCTCTCCCTCCCCCCCCCCCTCTCCATACTAATGACATTTATTAAATAAAGCCTTTCCATTTTCATCACATACTTTACCTTGGAGCCAGTGGCATCATCACGGGGTCTCTGTGCTTCTCTATGTAATGCAGGCAGATCGTGGCTGGTGGGAGGAGCCAGTATATGTGTTAGGAGGGAGGATTGGGGGGATATGTGTTTTTTTTTTTTTTTTTTTTTTTCAAATTGTTTGGACTTTTTCATTTATATAGCAAAAAAATAAAAAATCCCCGCGGTCAATAAATGCCACCGAAATAAAGTTTTGTCTGTCTCAAAAAAATGATCAAAAAGTGTCCGGACAGGAAGGGGGGGAAAGTGTCCGGACTGGAAGGGGGGGAAAGTGTCCGGACTGGAAGGGGGGGGGAAGCGTCCGGACTGGAAGGGGGGGAAAGTGTCCGGACTGGAAGGGGGGGGGAAGCGTCCGGACTGGAAGGGGGGGAAAGTGTCTGGACTGGAAGGGGGGGAAAGCGTCCGGACTGGAAGGGGGGGAAAGAGTCCGGACTGGAAGGGGGGGAAAGCGTCCGGACTGGAAGGGGGGGGAAAGTGTCCGGACTGGAAGGGGGGGAAGTGTCGGACTGGAAGGGGGGGGGAAAGCGTCTGGACTGGAAGGGGGGGGAAAGCGTCCGAAATGGAAGGGGGGGAAAGTGTCCGGACTGGAAGGGGGGAAAGCGTCCGGACTGGAAGGGGGGGAAAGCGTCCGGACTGGAAGGGGGGGAAAGCGTCCGGACTGGAAGGGGGGGGAAAGCGTCCGGACTGGAAGGGGGGGGAAAGCGTCTGGACTGGAAGGGGGGGAAAAGCGTCTGGACTGGAAGGGGGGGGAAAGCGTCCGAAATGGAAGGGGGGGAAAGTGTCCGGACTGGAAGGGGGGAAAGCGTCCGGACTGGAAGGGGGGGAAAGTGTCCGGACTGGAAGGGGGGGGAAAGCGTCCGGACTGGAAGGGGGGGAAAAGCGTCCGGACTGGAAGGGGGGGGAAAGCGTCTGGACTGGAAGGGGGGGGGGAAAGCGTCCGAAATGGAAGGGGGGGAAAGTGTCCGGGACTGGAAGGGGGGAGATCCGGACAGGAAGGGGGGAAAGTGTCCGGACTGGAAGGGGGGGGAAGTGTCCGGACTGGAAGGGGGGGGGGAGCATCCGGACAGGAGGGGGGGGGAAAGTGTCCGGACTGGAAGGGGGGGATAGTGTCCGGACTGGAAGGGGGGGAAAGTGTCCGGACTGGAAGGGGGGTGTGAAAGTGTCCGGACTGAAAGGGGGGGGGGGGCGTCTGGACTGGAAGGGGGGGGGGGAAAGTGTCCGGACCGGAAGGGGGAGGACCATAGATAAGAATGGGCTCAGTGCTGCCCCGTGGAATTCTGGGATATCAGGCCATGAGCACCTTTGTTCTGATTGGTTTTCACATCCTAACCTTTCCTTCTCCTCCTCCGCAGATCTGTTCGTTGGCCAGTTAAAGAGTTGCCTTAAGTGCCAATCGTGTGGCTACCGGTCGCCGACCTTCGAGGTGTTCTGCGATCTCTCCCTCCCCATCCCGAAGGTATGCAGGAGCCCGCGGCACAGAAACTTCCCAGCACGCTGGGTCACTCATTCCGGTGATGCTGCAGATTCTCAGAAACAATAAACACCTGGAAGAGTCACCGAGCATGCTGCACAGAACCGGGAACGTATGTCTGATGACAGGTCCACTTCACAGTCAAGGTCAAATGAAACTTTATTTAAAAAGTAGACAAAGGAAGAATTTTGTTCTTCCTTTGTGTAATTTTTAAATAAAGTTTCATTTGAATGTGAAGTGGGCCTGTCATCAGACACGTTTCTGGTTTTGTCTTCCATTCCTCTCCGCTGCGGTCATCATTTTTTATTATGTCATAAAAATATATTTTTTTGACAACATTATTATAATAATTATACATTATGGAGGTTTATTTACCAAAATGATTATTATTATATATTATGAATCAAACCAATAAAAAAAAATAATAAATCCAGCGGACGTTTCGGGCGCCCAAA